AAAAAAAAAAAAAAAAACAGACCAGGAAAGAAAAAAGTGATGGGCCCCTAAAATAACTTACTTTTAGTCCCACTTCCATTCTTCACTTACAGGGCTCTGCTTGCTCAGTGTTACATTTAGAATAACGTACAGATTTTTCTCAAAGGAGACAAGAAGAAATATAATACTTCAGAACACAGATKTCAATCTCAGTATTTTATTGAGATYAGGCAGCTGAAACTCAGAATTATCTCAGATTTCTCCATGTATGTAGGTATTGCAAAAATATTTGAGGTGATGCAAAGAAAAGAAGAAGAAAACACTGCAATAAACTCCTTTTTTACAGTGGTATGTGACTYATTCTCTAAGGTGATAAATTATACCTGCAGGAAACCATCTTAGGCTAACAAACTGCATTTTTGAAGTGACTTGGAAAACCAGATGTCCATAGATGTCCAAAGTAAATCAAAGACATTGCATCAACCCCACATATTATTTCTAGATTTTTTTCAGACTGAGAATAATCAGGAAGAATTCACATTACTTTTTATCAAAATAAAAAACAAAACCTCAATAAAAAGAACACTKCTAATTGATATTCATGCTAATAATCCTTCATAGAGACAGTGTAAGGTTGTCTRTAAATTAGGGAACTAATGCATAAACATAAAGGCTCAAAGCTAAAGCAGAGCATAGTCTTGCTATTCCACCTGAGCTGCATATGCCAAAGTGAAAGCATCTTCACAGTTTAGAATACTGTATAGGGATTGTATCTTTAGACCTCTCATCTCCTCATTGGCAAGACTGATGTAAAAAAACCCCATCTGTCATGAAAATAAAAAAAATGCTAGCATTGTGACACACAGCACAACTCTAAATGGATGTTGGTCTATTAAAAGCCAATTTTAGAAGAACTTGCTCTAAAGACCCCAGAGATGAAGGCTGATCTTCTGTCACAGATGAAACATAATTGGTTCATTTCTATATCTGAATTTTGWGCTGCATTTCCACTGCAGTTAAGTAATTTTGAAAAAGCAAAATGGATATACAAACATAAYGAATTTTATTCTTATTATTCTTTATGTTTTTGATTTTAAAGACAACTGTGACACATCTAAATATTATTTTCTTCAACATAGCAGRGAGGGGCAGGAGGTGTGAAACTAAAGCTACCTCTGACTACAGTTAAGCAARCAAGATTGTCCCAAACCCATAAAGTTTACATGCCCACTTCATAAAATGAGTCAGTAAACCACTGCCAGGAAATGGCTTATTGTGTGTGAGCAGAAGAGCACATCTTATGTCAATGACCACCACACAGACAAAAAAAATAAAATAAATAGGATGACAACAGGCCAGCAAGACATACAGCAAGGTTAAAGGCTTATCTTTAGTCAGTCYTACTGGCCAACTGGGTTATTTGGGGTTACCATAGGCAACCAACCAAAACCCATGTGTTCAGGAGGTCAGATCTCTGCATATCCTCTGGAAACCCCCCTTCACTTCCCAAACTGCAGTCAGGGCTCCTGCTGGTGGCACTTTAGAAATACTAGATTGAATAACTCTGAAAAAAATGTTTTAGTCCTGTCAAAGGTACCACCAGAGAGAACTTCCAGGCACAAAGGACACCCTGGTGTGAACAGCTTGGCTTTCAATGAAGAGCTGGGCAAACAGCTTGCAGCTTAAGGGGATTCACAGCAGCCAGAGGGAAAAGTACAGACTTGACTTAAGCTGCCAAGATGCAACAACAGGGCAAGGATGCCCTTGATTCAAAAGTAAGCCTCAACATTTCCTGAGCATGAAAAAGCACGAAAGTCATCCTGGGGCTTTGCAATCTAATACCAACAATTTAGGCCTTGATTACAAAAATCTTGGTTTTCCTCTCTGCTCCAGAGACTATTTTTGTATTTAATGACTATTTTTCCTATAAACCTTCTACCTAATAAAATATACATGAGAAAGTTTTGGGACAAGGTCTGGGGATTAGGTTTACCACTACTTCGTGGTCTGGGATTTTCTCTCTTCCAGAGAGTTGTATTCCTTCCCTCAACATTCCAGTTCAGCAAATACTGATTTATTTTTTGCTAAGCCGTGTTTTGTTACTGTTGTAGTGAGGGCAACTTGGTTTTGCTGCTCCAAAACACACTTCTTGATAATTTAAGGCCTTCTCCTTGAGCTTGAAAACTGCAAGTATCACTCTCTTTTCTTCCTCAATCACAGGATAGTGCCAAATCAGATATCCCTAGATATGTTTAGGCTTAAAGTTAATTTCAGAAAACAATTCCATCCTTTAGTTAATTTTAATTCTTTTGAAATGAGACAAAATGCAAAAAACTCAGGGTTTATCTCAGCAAATTAGTATAAAGACACAACTGGTTTTGTGTGAGAAGGGGGTTAGGATGTAAACTGCGGAAMATTTTAGAGTAATGCAGAAAACTTTAAGTGATGCAGCATTTTTGAGAAATGCTTTTACAGCTATCAACTTTTACTTAGCTGCTATCTGTTAATTCCAACTCTGAAAAAACAAACCATAATCCCAGGTGGAGCTTATCCCTRAACCACCATCAGCTGCAATACAAACCATTATACCTTACACCAGGATGTATATGGCTCCATAAAATGCCGCAAACTGGAAACCCCCTCTTCCAATTTGGTTTTGGGATTCTCCACATATTTAGTCTCACGAGCTGGGGAGGAGTACAGTGACAGCTGTGAATATTAGCAAACAAGATGTTAAAAACAAAGGTGTAATTGTGTAAGTAGGTCTTCAGGGCATGAACAGTCTAAACAGAGAACACCTAACACTGTGCTAACTATATAAACAATGCATAATAAAAATTCACACAGTAATGGTGAGACAACCATTATGAGCAAAGTTTAATTATACAGCACATAATTATGATGAAGATGACTTCTAACTGCTATACAATTCATTCACAGCTGCTATGTGACCCAAGTCACAAGTTATAAATTAATATTAAACTAGTTTCATAAGAACACACAACATAATTGTGAAAAATGTTTCTCACCTTAATCAGCACTTCTGGTCCCCAGTTAAMATACTGAATGTACTATAAATCATAATCAATCATTTTCTCTATTTGCACAAGCCGTCATTAAAGAGCCTAAGCAGCTTCTAACAAAGTTAACATCCAATACAAATGTGCCTGTTTGTTACTGAGCAGGAAAATGGTACAACTTCCCAGCCTTTGGTCATTAACCACATCAGCAACTGACAGCATTAATACCATCCTGCCACTGAGCAAAGAGGAACTGTAACGAGCAATGGGTATCTTCAAATACTAAATGCTAAACCACCCTATTTACGGGTTAGAATCACAACGTTTACTGCAATTACCTCAGCATATTTGAAATTGTATTCCATTAAAAAAAAGAAAACCAAAGTCTGTACTGTTTAAGATGAATAGCAAAGTTCAGATCAAAACAAAACCTATTAAAATTTCTAGCAGTTTATATACTACATAGATGTTTAGTATAAAGAGCTTATATTTATACCACATTTATACTCCATTTAGCAGTTTATTATCAACTGATGATTATAAGTACCAAAGTGCATTAAAATGCAGCAAACCTTCCTACCATGATCAGCTGGAAAAGAACTATTTATCTCCGTCATAATCAAAAAAGCTGCTAACCATAAAGAAACATAAAACCACACAGAAGTTGTCCAATAATTTGATAAGTTATGCAGCTGGATTTCCCATAATACATGGACTTCCCATAAGACAAGTAATTCCAGCCCCATTTCCCAAGGAAATGTGGTTATCCCTAGCAATCATAGTCACAAGCTGAACTTTGATCCTGTTGGACAACTAACAGCAATGTCTGGCACGAGGAGAGAAGTCTTGGAGATAAGGAAATTCCCATCTATTTTACAAAAGTAGACAGCTGACACAGTAGAGAKCCAAACTAGCAGCCTATGAATGACAAGAAAGGCAGCCAAAAYGCCATGGCTTGCACATTTTGCTGTGCTGGAGTTGATGGGCAGCCCATTACTCAGCTCACATGAACTCCACGCTGCTGCCTCACCACTGACTCAGGCCAGGGGAGGTTGGGCACGGGACAGCCCAGGCTGAGGTTCCTGGGCTGGGGAGGGTCAGGAGACCACTGCAGCTCCCTCTCATCCTGGACAAGGGAACTGCCCTTGAACAAACACAGCCAAAAAACCTAAATACACACAAACACCAGTCTAATTTAGTTCCRGTGCTTATGTAACAACAATTTAACAACTGCTCGGTCTCATGGATATAAAGCTGGATTCAGTTTAACAGGGTGTTTTAAAGTTCTACTTATAACCAAGACATTTGWAACATCCTAAAGAATTAAAAAGGTTACAGGTATTTATTACCACTWCTTTTTGTATTTGCTGTTGCTTAGGTCCAAATACTGTAAAGAAAGGAACAGTGATAAAATTCTGTAGGCTACTATGGTGGATTGAAAGTATTGCCAGACAATAATTTTGATCATAAAAAGAGAGTAATTTTAGAAATAAAACATTCTGATTTGTTGTTTTAGGGGAGAACATAAATGGATTTTTATTAGAATTTGCCAACAGTACTTCCAGTAAAAAAKAAATTATATTATCTGAATAAAAGGTAAACAAAATACTCCTGTGGATTTGAAATACAATCACAAGTAAACCTACAAATGCGAAAACATCATTTCTGAATGAAGAATATAAGGCTTCAATGCAGGAAAAAGATCTTAAACACAAGCAAGCCTAGCACTATCAAGTGAAGAACATCAAATGTAATGTCCAGGTATAAGCAAAACTATATAGATGTTTCTACTGTGGAAAACTGAGAAGCAAATTTAAAGACAAGAATAGAAAAGGTGATGACATCCAAATGTTTTCACACATCAAAACAATGTTTTCCTGAATTCTTTAGACAGAAGCATACTAAGACTAGCCACACTTACCTCCTCAATTTTCAGCAGCTCCTTTTTGGAAGCCTTCTCTGGAGAAGCAGCATAAACCTGGACAGAGAGCAAGCTCAGGCTGACAGGGGTGGCCCCCAGCCGAATTACCTGGAAACATTACATGAAGACAAGTACATCATTATGTGCAAACAAAATTGCAACATGTTTGAACACATCCATGCAGACATGGGTATGTCCCCCTACATGGTAAAAAGTGATATAGTGAGATGCTTGGAAATTAGGAGAAAGGRGGGTCAGCAGGACACAATCCAATGCTCTCAGGCATTCAACTGGTAACGTCTAAATCACTCAGATGGTAGCTGGAAAAGCTTAAAGGCGAAAGAAGATAGCAGAAATAAATGCTAATCTCACTGTTTTTCATCTCACAAAAAAGATCTTCTTTTCTCTCATTTGAAATAACTTTTGTATTAACTTTCTCAGTTTAAATARCAACATTATATTTGTATTTCAAACRACTTTAAATGCCCATARCACCTCCATTTTTCCATAGTTAGTACCAAGAAGTTCAGTGTTTTATTTGTAGTTAATATTTGCATCTAGATTTAGGAAAACAATGAGGCCTACAGTTGAAAATATCCGAACAAARTCAATAATTTCTAAGAATTTTAGGAATGTCTCCTACTTTTCTGTGAGAACATGAATTACTTGACTGTTTTTTGAATACTTCAGATTCAATCCCATCACACAACACAACCACTATGTGTTAAGTGGAYATAACTCTTCCAATATTCAGGACCTATACTAAATTGTATTTCTTAATGGGAAAGTCTGCTTCAACTTAAAAAACAGAACATCTCAGCTTAGTATTTCCAGCAAAGTATTTTCCAGCAAATGCACATCCTTATTAACAGCAAAGCATAACTCCAAATATATCAGTTTAAATGAGAAAGCTTTCAATGTCTCCTAGTCCTGTTACTGCTCAGGGAAATGTGCAGTTACAAGAGCCTGGTGTGTTGTAGGGTCAGGTTACAGCACGAGTGGATCTAACACCAAACTGGAGGTGTCTGGCTCCTCTCCAGCACTGGTTCCCAGAAATCCTGCTGCTCACCTTGCCCTAGCTTTGGTGGCCGGATGCTTCCACCGTGAGGCAATTCACCTCGCCAATTTGACAAAAGATTAATCCTGAAAGAGAAGCGCAGAGCTTTGTGCGGGCTTAGGAAATTGAACCCTTCCGTGAAACAGCCTGACAAGCACCAGAGGAATTCTGTGGGCCAGGAAAGAGGGGATGAAAAAAAGGAAAAGGCAGCAAGGCTTCTTCCTTTTGGGAAACATTAGGGGCCTTTGCATTGACCTAGCTGCTTGTGAGACTGAGGCTGWGATCAAACCAGTTCATCCTTTACGCCGTGATGACAGCAACAGGCMCAATTCTCTGAAACATTCTGTCCCTTGCAGAACTGTCAGAAAATAGCTTTAAAATTATCCAGACCACAAAAGCTTATTGCAAGCAGTAAAAGCATTTGCAGCTTAAATTTCTTCCACTGCTTCATAGGTGGAATGTTTATTAAATGTAACCAAGAGACTCSTCAAACAAAAAATTAAACTATATAGTTGTCAAAACTTCCTGACAATGTTCATTCACGTGTAAAGAAASAGCACACAAGAACTAGGTCGCAGGACTGCTTTTCAGGAAGACACAARGGATCTGATGGGTCAAAAGGTACGGAAAAACTTGCTTAAAATGGAAGTTTTTCCTTACCTGAATTTATGGATTCATTACTAGAGCACTAGAAGTGAAACACCACAATGACTGGATTAGCTGTTCCATAGCCAAGGAAAGACATGGAAAATCTTTAATAGTGTTTGCTTAAACACTTTTCACATACTTCCATTAGCCAGGACAAAAACAAATGCTACTAACCATAAACAGCAGYAGAGGTTATTTCCTCAGTATTTTCTTTTTTCACTGCAAAATTGTTCTGTCACTGAAAAGGCAAAAATCTAAATGCATTTTCRTTCCGAAAGATGTTTTGCAACAGTGTAAATGGTGCTGTCACCAGCAGAAACAGTAAATCCAAATGCTTTAGGTATCTGAGATGTTTATATAAARACACAAACAGCAGCACACAAGACTGGAAGAACCTTGGTTTTACAAAACAGTATAATTGATCACAAAACTACTCAGACTGAAAATGTCAACTGTTTATATTATCAAGATACTGAAGTGCAGACATTTTCCATTGGTTTTACTTTTTAACAGAATGAAATTAACCACTAAAAGTGCAAGTCGAATCTCTTCTTAAATGTGCTGTTGAAATCATACCGCCTACATCAGCTACCTTAGGAGACAAACAGAACTGCTGCTGAAACACTGTGCATGTGCACACACAAAAATATTTATTTGGGAGTATGAAAGAACAACTGCTGTACTTTTTTTTCCCCTTTAGGATCTCATTTTTCAGTTCATACTAATCACACATTAGTAAAACATTCTGACTGACTGAGCTGTGCCTTCAGCCTGCCTTACAGCCATCCAGTCAGTATCAGAAAAGCAGAGCTGACATTCTTTTCTATTGGTAATGCTCTGCAGTTTTTTTTTTAAGTAAAAAAGTTATATTTACTCCTCTCTGCAGCTGAAGAATTCAACTTTATCTTTAGACACCAGATAGGAAAAGCCTGACCATACTTTTGAGAAGGCTGATACTGGTCCTAATGTAGGATGATGCTTCATGCTTTCTGCTTTTTCCATTCTTCCTCCTATTTCTCAACCTAAACTATAAAAACACAAACCCAAAATCCAAACCCTTGAACACTCCTGTCCCTGAAGCACAAACACCCCAAACAAAAAGCCACCTTCCCCTTTGGCTCTCTTTGGCACAGGTTGGCCTGAAGCATCTAAACCTTCAATGCTGTGTAAAAGTACTGTCATGCATAGTGCCTAAATGTTCACAYATAACCTCTTTAATGACAATCCAGTATCTATCAGGGAATTCTCAATGATTCTCAGCATGAAAGAATTCCAACCACTGTCACGACATTAAAGCACAAGAAAAAATGGTTGTGACAAGAGCAGAATAAGCTAGATCTGCTCAGCACATCAATAATACAGACTCACAGAACTGGCAGGATTGGAAGGGACCTCTGGAAATCATTCAGTCCAACATCCTGCTAAGGCAGGGTCACCTGGAGCAGGAGAACCAGGAAAGTGTCCAGATGGGCTTTGAACATCTCCAGAGAGATCTATAACATCCCTGGACCTGGAGCAGGAGACACAGGAACGTGTCCAGATGGGCTTTGAACATCTCCAGAGAGATCTACGACATCCCTGGACCGCTGTTCCAGTGCTCTGCCACCTCCATCTAAAGATGTTTTTCCTAATGTTGAGGTGGAACTTCTTGTGTTTCTGTTACATGTTAGTATTTACTATGCTTAGCGTATTGCCATCTAGATATGTTATCAATATTTGACAYAGAAAATGGTACCGAGGAGAATGAATATCAAGACTCGAGCACCGCCGGATTTTTGAACTTTTAAAAATCGAGCACACATAACCACGATCTGACTGCCACACAGAGATGCTTTTAACCTGATRGCATCTGGGGCTGCTCTTATCAAAGACCTTTGAGACAGCAAGACCCGAACCGTGCTTTTCGCAGGTTTCACTGACAGCCTTCACGCACTAAAGGGACAGAATTGACACTTTCAAGAAACAACTGCACGAACCCAAACTCTGYGGTAACACAGCTCCGCGCTGCTGGAAGCAGTACGAAAACAAGAAGCAATTGTAAAGAAAGAATGCGATCTGCACGCACGAATCCAAACTCTGCSGCAACACAGCTCCGGGCGTGCTATATCCTAAAAGCAATTTTCGGTAAGGAAGGGGGTCTTTATGTGTATCTTTTCATGCAACACGGAGRGCACGCGGTCCTGAAGGGCTAAAAGGAGCGATTAAGCAGGTGCAAGGAGAGTAGAAGAGAGTTAAGCGGCAGAAGGCGGAACGGGRAGAACTCTCCGAACCCTCTGTGGCGGCCCCAAGCGCGGCCCTCAGACCCCTCCTCACCTTCAACATGGCGGCGCCGGGCGCGCGGCGACGGGGCGATGACGTCAGCGCGGCGTGACGTCAGGCGCGCTGGCCCCGCCCACCGAGCTGAGGGGGTGTTCGTTACCTGAGGGGAGGGAATGGCTCTAAAGGTTTATGTGGGACTAAAGGGTAATGTGCGAGTTCTGAACGGGATTACTGGTGCTCAGACCCGCAGCATGGCTCGGTGTGTTACCTTTGTTAGGAAAATTAATCCACAAGCACCASAGGTTTATGTCCAAAAAGGAGACAGAGGAGTCCCGCAACTTTATTCATGAATAAAGGGAGAGGTCATGGGCATTTCTCATGGGGTCTCTCAAATTCATAGAGGACGCAGCCTCCTTTTATCCCAATTTCCCTGCCGCGGGTGCCTCTTTCTTTCCCCATTGGCTGAGGTACTTGAAAGTTACAGGCTCCCCAAAACGCCTGATGAAACCCCTCTTCTATCATAAATTCCCCCCCCCCGTCAGCTTTCCGCCTTAGAGTTTGCAATCCATTTATTTATATAGTCTGAGATAAGTCAATCAGTGGAATTCTTATGGAAATCCTTCTTATTGTTTCTTTTTTATTTTTCAGTATCAGCTTTATCTCACCCCAGAGCTTAGAGTCAGAGTTTGTTTGTAAAGACATTCCCTTCTCCTTTCACCTTGCAGCCTTTTTAAAGAAGATTCGGCAATTCAGAGGTCACAGAATCAATCACAGGATCGTGGAATCAGTTAGGTTGGAAAAGATCTCTGAGTCCTACCTGAGTGCCACGTCCAGTCTTTCTTTAAACACCTCCAGGGATGGTGACTTCACCTCCATTCCAATGTCTGCTCAMCCTTTCTGTGAAGAAATTCCTCCTGATGTCCAGCCTAAGTTTTCCCTGGGATAGTTTGAGACCCTCATGCAGTTGCTGGTTGCCTGTGAGGAGAGACTGAGCCCCACCAGGCTACACTTTCCTGTCAGGGAGTTGTGGAGAGTGATAAAGTCACCCCTGAGCCTCCTTTTCTCCAGGGTGAACAACCCTAACTCCCTCAGCATCTCCTCACAGGACTCGTGCTCCAGACCCTCCACCAGCTTCACTGCCCTTCTGTCACACTGCCATGTAATTTGGATGGGTGTGCTGGTTTTGCTGGGGTAGAGTTAATTCTCTTCACAGTGGCTGTTTTGGGGCTGTGTTTTGGATTGGTGCTGAGCACAGGCTTGGTAATACAGAGATGTTTTTGTTACTGATGAGCAGGGCTCACACAGAGCCAAGGCTTTTCCTGCTTTTCCTACTGCCACGCTGGGAATGGGGCTGGGGCTTTGTGGGAAGATGGGGAGAGACACAGCTGGGACAGGGACCAAAACTGACCACAGGGATATTGCAGACCATGGGACATCATGATCTCTATATAAACCACTCTGGCCTTAAGCCCAGCTGGCAACTAAGCCCCACATAGCTGCCTGCTCACTGACCCAACAGCAGGATCATGGAGAAAACTGGAAAGGGAAAAACTAGAGAACTCACAGGTTGAAGATGGTTTAACAGGGAAAGCAAAAGCCATGCACACAAGCAAAGCAAAACAAGGACTTCATTCAGTTTGCCATGGTCAGGCAGGTGTTCAGCCATTTCCAGAAGAGCATGGCCCCATCAGCCATAATGGTGACTTGGGAAAGCAAATGCCATCACTCCAAAAGGCCCCCTCCTTGCTTCTTCTTTCCTTGACTTTATACACTGATCATGATGTCCCATGTTCTGGAATATCCCTGTGGTCAGTTTTGGTCCCTGTCCCAGCTGTGTCTCTCCCCATCTTCCCACAAAGCCCCAGCCCCATTCCCAGCGTGGCAGTAGGAAAAGCAGGAAAAGCCTTGGCTCTGTGTGAGCCCTGCTCATCAGTAACAAAAACATCTCTGTGTTACCAGCCCTGTGCTCAGTACCAATCCAAAACACAGCCCCAAAACAGCCACTGTGAAGAGAATTAACTCTACCCAAGCAAAACCAGCACAATGGGCCTAGTGTATGGATAGGTTTCTGTGCCTTTCTAATCTCATTAAATATAAAAAAAAAACCCACCAAAACAGAAAACTCAAAAGAAACAAACAAAACAAAGAACCCCCTGCAAAAAAAACCCCAACCAACCAAATAAACCCAAAACCCAACAAAACAAAACAAACAAAAAGAAACGCAAACAAGTACCCTTTTCTCACTATTTTCACACTCCTTGGTCTCTGCACCCCCTGTGGCATGTCCCAGCTCACTTGAGTGAGTTGGACAGGTACAACAAGTTTTTTCTGCTCCCATCTGCAGCAAGGAAGTGTCTTATGTACATCCCCTGGTGACTGCCCTGTAATTCAGTGGGAGATGAATATCAGTATCAGAAACGAGGAGTGCTACATTTCTGTCAGAAAATGGACTTGGAACAGATTGCCCAGGGAGGTGATAGAGTCACCATCCCTGGAAGTGTTCAAAAAACACAGGTTCTTGAAAACAGCTACTATTGATTTTAGAATAGAACCCTATTAATCCTAGAAAACATTATTAAATGAGTTTTAATGCAAAAGGTGAATCAGTTGAAGAATATGGTAGCAAATAGTTAATCAGCACTGTGGAGAGACAGATGAGATATGCACCCTTGTATGATTTTCTTTGTGAGGATAGTTTTTAATGTTCTCTCTTAAAATCCCTACATTTCTTTACTGCAGACTCTTTATAGACCTGACAGAAGCAGCTGTATCAGAAGTATTTTCCAGACTAATGGGGGATGTTTAACCACTGCAATACAGAACTGAGCAATGCTCCTTAACGGGCAAATTAATGGGACAGCAGAAATCCCATGAACAAATGGTATGGGATGAGCTTCAAAGATTTTAACATGGAAGAGTTAAACCTAAAATGTACCTAACTGAGCCGTGGCTGAAGAACACTCATTGGCCTCTTTATCCATTGCACTGTGCTTTGCACAATCAGTTACATTTGCACAATATAAGCAGCCAGTGTGAGGAAAACTGATTTTGCAGCATTTTGTAGAGGTTTTGTCAGGATGTGGAGAGAGGGGGGAGTTTGCAAAACAGTTGCATTTCTTGATGCATTTTATTAGTAATTCTCAAGGAATTTGAGAAAACAAATGTTCAAATCTCTAAATTACAGGTGAGCCCACAAGAGGAGTGATGACATCGAGGTGAATAATGGCACCTGCTCTGGTTAGTTCTCAACCAAAACTAAGCCCCAAGCTGTGGGTGGAACTGTTCCTCATTTTTTGCAGGGGGCAAATATAAGAATGTTTCAAATACACTCTCTACGAATGTTTGGTACATGAACAGTACAAAAAACTCCAATTCCAATTCTTTCTGGACATAAAATGGTGTAGAAGTTACAAATATGTATTTTTGTCATCAATAGATATGTAGTGGCTATACAGCAATTATTAGTACAWTTATGTAACACAGATATAAATATCTAAAGAACAGATGGTTATTTCAAAAAAAATTTAATCCAAATAATTTTATTAGCTCTGACATCTTCAGTGCATTTTTTTTTGTTAATATGGAAGTTAATCTTTGTAACTATTGCTATGACAGATTAAAATAAATGGGAAAAGCTTTGTAGAGTACAACAATAAAAATATATTAGCTTTCATGTAGGTGTATTGTTCTCTYATGCTGGAGGAGGTTGTCTGCAAAATTTCCCTGGGACAAGGATAATATATGCCATAATGGATTATGCACAGTCCAAAACACTGTCAGACAGGCTTAAAAAGGAGCTGAATTTTCTGCTGCTGAGGCCACAGAATAAAGAGGTTTGGCATGATTGACTCCTGTCTGTTTCTAGTGTAAGAACCTCTAGCAAATTTCAGATTTATTTTGCATGTCAGTATTTTCCTCTCTCTTGGTAACTGGCTTTTCTAAATATTTGTTAAGGACACATTTCCTTTAGAAAGCTGCAGCTCAGAGAAGATTGCAAATGTYGCCACAGTGCATAAACTATGTCAGCACAGGCAGAAATACAATTTAAGAAATTTGATGTTTAATCCACTGCCTTAGCCATTATAGTCTGAGATTTCACAATGTTGTATTAGATTGTTTGTTTACAGTTTATTTTTTGGTCAGGAAAATACAATCAGTCCTTTACTAGCAACACAATTACTGTCCTTTGACATAGATTTATAGTAATAGGAAAAAATTGCATTTGTTACACATTAATGGTAAAATGTGAGTGTGTAACATCTGACCATCAAATACCAATGAAGTTACCTACCCACACTGATCATTAGAAAACATTTTAATTTTGAAAGGCTGGTTTATATTGATGTTCTCCTCCATGATAAATCATCTTTTATATTTAAACGAACAAACAATACCAACACGCCCCCTTGTTTTTCAATGCACCTTTTTTCATTAAAACAAATGAGTTTTTAAAATACCAGCACATATTTGTTAAGCAGCTAATTGAATTGGCTTTCATAGGGGTGCAGATGATGGACCTTTCAAGGTGCCTTTGTGAAGGGGGAGTAGTTTGCATATCCACAAGAAAACTCCTTCATACTTACTCTATCCACTTCCGAAATAAAACAAAACAAAACAAAACAAAAACAAACAAAAAAAAAAMAAAACAAAAAAAAACCCAAAACAAACAAACAAAAAAAACAACAAACCAAACAAACCAAAACAAAATCGTTTGGCTTTTGCATTTAATAATACTGTCTTATTTAGAGTGAAACTTACCTTGTGCTTTTTCTTTTCATACTTGAGGTGGGTAGTTTTTCAAAGTTTGTTAGGAGGCACTTTATTAGCAGCTAGAAGGTCTGAAGTCACACATTTAGAAAGTAAATTGAGTGTTAAAGACAGATGCCATTGCAGAGCTCTTTGTGCTTTCCTACTGACCTACCTTTAACTGCAGCAAAGTCTTTACTGAATTCCTGGGGTAATCCAGGACTTGAATTTCAGCACCTGTTGTCTCACCAGCTTTGTCAGATTTTGACAGCATCCAAAATACACTCAGTGCTTTCCAAATAAAGATTCTATAATCTAAGACAAAGGACTGGCAGAAAAAAGACACAGATAATGGGGAAAAA